GCACCCAGAGCGGGGCCGCCCCACACCTGCGCGCTCGCCCGCCGGGCCCTGGTGCCGAGCGTGCACGGTAGGTGGACCCTGTTTTATACGAACAGGGTATCTGTATAAGCACGGAGTCTCCCAGACATTATTTGCGTTGAATCCCAGTAAAATGTCGGTTTTTAGAACCCATTAGGCCGAACGTGGGTGACAGAGGCTCAAGGGGCGTCCCTATGCTGAGGTCTCGGTGGGCGAGGTGGGTGTTTTCCAGAAGAACTCGGTTCCTCCGTAGCAGGAAGCCACGCGACTTCCAGACTCCCCCAGAGGTGCCCTGTCACCAGCCCACGGGGTGTGCAGAGGTCACCACGGAGCGGGATTCGGAGCAGCTCCCCGGGCTCTTCCTGGGCTCCACGCCCTTGGATCCTCCATCCGGGCGGCGGGGCTGATGTCCGCCGCCTTGGCTGCGGTGCCCCCACTTGAAGTGGGAGAGCGTTTGAAATCTGGTTCATCTGCATATGAAGTCCTCGGGGGCTGGTGTCTGGGATTCTGGCATTTCCTAGCCAGATGGGGCCTTGGAGAGGGGTCTGGCCCTCAGATTCCCAAGGGGCAGGTAGTCAATGGGATGGAGCATCCTCTCCCTAACCTTTTTGCTCCCAAAACAAATATAAAAGCCACCGTGGTGTTTTCTTCTTATTGTGGAATTCATGAAACCCTTTCTGGACTCTGAAGTTTAGTTCGCACGTCTCACCCCCAGGACTCCAGCTTTCTTGCCGCTGACTCCCCTCTGCTGGAGGATGCCAGGCACCTGTCCCCACCTGTTCCCAGTGCAGTTTGGCTGTCTCACCTGGGAGCCCGTCTACAGGGCTGGCAAAGATGGTCGAATGATGCCTGCTGCCCTCCCTGGGTTTGACTTAGATGGCCCCCGGAGCTCACAGCCCACTGGGAGGCCGGGGAAGCAGGTGCAGGCTGGCCTGGGAGGAGAAGCAGGGCCAGGTGTTGGTCCTGTGGGCGGTGCTGTAGGGGGGCCAGGCAGCCGCCAGGTGAGCGTCTTCTGAGACAGAGCTTCCCCAGGCTCCCCACGTGACCCGGTGTGAGTGCAAGTCCAAAATCTGTATCGGGGCTCAATCAGACACACAGAGCAGGAGGGGTGTGTAGGGCACGGTTTCCTGCAGGGAACTGGCTTACGCAGCGGTGGGGCAGGCCAGGCAGGGCTGAAATCCGTGGGCAGGGTCGGCAGGAAGCGCAGGCTGGAGCTCTCTTAGCAGGGCGTTTTCTTCCTCCTCCAGAAGCCTCAGCTCCGTCCCTTAAGGCCTGGCACCTGATTGGGTCAGGCCCACCTAGACTATCTCGGACAATCTCCTTTACTCAAAGTCGCCTGATTACACAGAGTGACACCTAGATTGCTGTTGGCTGTGGCCCAGCCCGGGCGACACGAGCTGACCCTCACCCCTCCTCTATCTCCTGAGGTCACCGATCTGGGCGGCACAGCTCTCTTTTCCTCCAGGAAAATTGTAAGACCCTGAAGGCCTCTGAGGAGCAGTCTCCCTAGAGCTACAGCCCCTACAACTCCTGTCACCTAGGTGCTCAGGCTGTCGTGGTTGGGGTTTCCTGTCGTCTTTGGGGCCAAATGCCTCAGTTAAGTCTTAATTACATGCTGTTTCATTCTCATAACCATCAGAAATCGCTCTGCTTGACAACACATCAGGCTGGTAAAAACAGCTCTAATGCCTTTTCCATTGGGCATTAGGGGAAACGTGATTCTAGCAATGGGACTTTGGGGTGCGATAGGAATCTGGGGTGCGATGGGGATCTGCGGTGCAGTGGGGATCTGGGGTGCGATGGGATCTGAGGTGCAGTGGGGATCTGGGGTGCGGTGGGGATCTGGGGTGCAGTTTTCTTGGGTTCAGTTAGTCCTGTTTTCTTAATGATGGATCTGAGAGAATCTCCACAGAATAAAATACAAGGAGAAGAAGGAGGGTTGACAGGGGGGTGGAGGATGGG